GGCGGACACGGGCGTGCAGGAAGAGGGCGGGAGGGCTGGCAGGCGGGAAACACAGGAAGGGGGCAGATAAGAGATGGGTAGCGGGCATGGCATTGTCATAAGGTAGACTTGGGGCGGAGCATGAATGCATTATTCCAACAACAGCTGCATACTGGCAGGCAGCGGCGAGCAGGCGGGCAGGCGGGAGACGCTCATCAGCAATGAGCGGGCTTTGTCATCAAACGGTGTTTAAACTCAGCTGTACTCTGCCGGACTTGCCAATGGGCCCCAGAGTCTGCCCCAGATTCTGGCCCCAGAGTGTCTAAATCCCTGACATTCTGAGAATACTACGCCCCAAAGTGGAAGCCCGCGTGCACGTGGCCACAGAACGGTTTGTACTTCAAGAGTTTACCACTCTAACAACGGAATCTTATATTGTCTATTGCTACTCAGCCTGTAGCTAGTGTGGTGGGCAAAATGTAGCAGAACTCAGGATGTACTAGCAGATGCTCTGGTCAATGGAGGTCGTCCTCTCAATTCCCTCAAGCCGGCTTTCAAGTCAATACCGAGGTTGCCGTGGCCAAGTAGTTCGAGACCGGTTTCACATCTGTTCCACCACTCGCAAGTTGCAGCAGCCTCCAGTGATGCCAGCTACAATCTTCAAACAGTAGTAGACGAAAAAATGGTTACGGAACTACGATGCAAGGACGACCGGGTCTCACATCAATATAGCACACGGAGTGCCAACAAAAATTTGCTTGCTTCTGAACTGCTTCAAAATAGGCCTGCACCAGGTCATGCATCATTAACATTCCGGCCGTGGGAGAGGACGCCTTAAGCTGAGCGCGACCCGAAATTCCCCTGCAGGCAAATCACCACCCAAGCCAACTGCAAAGTGATTCAAGTGTCCTACAATGAGTGCTCAGTTCGACCAGTCACGTCTTATTTGGACACCCGCTTACCCGTCTCATGTCGTCTGCGAGAAGTTCAGGCGTGAAATTAACCTCAAGCACAACCTGAAACTCAGTGCGTTTGACGTCTCTCATAGAATGAGAGCCTGATTGGAGCCTTTTCGTGCTGTAGAGGACTATCATGACCTCCATGCATACTCGATATCCAATTACACCTTCTGGCTCGACCTCTGGCAGTTCATGGGAATTCTGTCTTCTGTTCCCCCAGATCCCACAAAGGTGTGTCAGCTCATATTGTTCTTTTCCTTATGATCTTGAATATCACCATAGATAGTCCAAAAGGGCAAATATGAAGAAGTACCCGAATGGTTTCCCGGAGCACGCCTCAACTACGCTGAGAACCTTCTCTACCGAGACGACGATGGAATCGCTTGCACAGCAGGCAATGAACTCGGAGTCGTGACGCATTATACATTCCGTCAGCTAAGAGAGATGGTACGCAAAATGGCAGCTGCAATGCGCGCGAATGGATTGAAGGTTGGAGACAGGGTTGCTGGTGAGCGAAGGAGACACCTATAGAGTTTGCCACAATTGTTAACCTTAAATGATCGCAGCTATCATATCCAACTCCATCACCGCTGTGGTAGTTGCTCTTGCGGCTTCCAGTGTAGGAGCAATATTCTCCAGTACCGCAACTGACATGGGTACCCAGGTCAGCCGTATCGTATCTCTCATAGACTCGCAAGACGTTCCACCTTGACTAGGGCATACTTGATAGGTACAGGCAGATCAAGCCAAGGCTCATTTTCACAGAAACGGAGATTTTTTATGCCGGGAAGACAATCAACCTAGTGCAGAAGGCTTCGGACGTGGAGCAGGACCTCCGCACATCTGGCGTAGAGCGCATCATTACCTTACCGAGTGTGAAGACCGGAAAGACCGTCCCAGAGTCTCTAAACATACCCAACAGGTTTGTTCACGACTCCTTAACGCGTGTTCTCACTTGACCTTTGTTTAGTGTTACGTTGGATTCTTTCCTTGCATCAGATGACGGTCGACCACTGGAATTTGAGCAGTTACCTTTCAGTCATCCATTGTACATCCTATACTCCTCCGGGACAAGTGGTCCGCCGAAATGCATAGTACACTGCGGTGGGGTACGCCTCCCGCTAACGTGCCATATTCTACTATTTATCTTCCTGTGCAGGGCGCCCTTATGAACAGCAAGAAGGACTGTATGGTTGGCTTCGGAATCCTTCCGACTGATGTCTATTTTCAATACACTACAGTAAGCAGTCCGATATACACATGCTGTGCGTGAAGTGATCAGCTCATACCCATACAAGACGGGCTGGATGATGTGGCCATTCATGCTCTCAGGTCTTGCATGTGGTGCACGCATTGTCCTCTACGATGGGTCACCATTCCACCCTGACATCAGGGGTTATCTCAAGTTCATTAATGACCAGGGGTGCGAAGACACTAGCGAGCGCAGACAATCAGTGACTAAATTCTTTTAGTGTCACGGTATTGGGCACAAGTCCACGCTTCCTGACCGAAGTCCAGATGAGGGGTATCAAACCGCGTATGGTCGGATCATAGTCTTGAGAGTTGATGCTAACTACTTTTGTAGTTGAAATTGCATCCTTTGAAGCTCTTCGCGCGATGACAGTCACAGGAGCTGTAACAACTGCATCTTTAATGGAGTGGGCGCACGAGGCGTTTGGTAGGAAGCTGCTCATAGGTTCGTCTTCTGGGGGGACAGACGTGTTCTGTGCATGTAAGTTTTCGTCGGGTCGCCCCTTTCTATGTGCCTAAACTAGCACTCCTCAGTTGTCTCTTGTGTGTCGAGTTTCCCACTATATGCTGGAGGTTGTGTCGGAACTATCATTCTCCTAAATTGGACTAACTATGCGTTTCATACAGAACTTCAAGGCAAATCTCTTGGCATGGCTGTTGAATTATTCGATCCTATGGGAAAGAACATTGAGAACACAGGTCAGCCTGGCGAGCTCGTCATCACACGTCCGCATCCTTCGATACCTGTTTGTTTCTGGGGCGACGAGTCTGGCAAAAAGTTTCGACAGGCATATTACGACATGTACCCAGGTACGTTCTCCTGATTTTATCTAGATATCGACGTGCGTGTTCACGTTGGTACAGGAGTGTGGCGTCAAGGGGATTTTGTGGTCAAAAATCCGAAGACGACAGGGTTCATCTTTCTAGGGCGGAGGTACTGACTATTATTAAGCTTTGTTATAAGCTGATCTAATCATTTCCACAGCGATGGCGTACTCAACCCCTCTGGTGTTCGTTTCGGCTCAGCGGAGATCTACTCTGTCCTGGAGTTTTTCTCTGACGAGGTCGATGATTCATTGTGTGTGGGTCAACGGAGGACACAAGACCCCGACGAGCGTGTCCTGCTCTTTCTGAAGATGCGCTCAGGGCACAAGCTCACACCTGCCCTCATTGACCGCATAAAGAGCGCGATCAGAACCAGCCTTAGCCCGAGACACGTTCCAGCCTACGTGTTCGACACCCCAGATATCCCTGTACGTAGGCTGTCTGTGCGGTGGACATGACGATCCTGATGCTTGTGCAGTACACTGTAAACGGCAAGAAAATCGAGATTGCGGTCAAGCAGATTGTTTCGGGGTCCGATCTAAAGCCGAGTGGGACTGTGGCAAACCCTGAGTCACTTAATCTGTACTATAAGTACAGGGATATCGAAGGTTTGGTGGGCCTGAAGACGATGGCGAAGCTTTAGTTGTAGACATTAATATCAGAAGGTTGGATCCTTCCACCAAATATTAACTTGCCAGCCCAACCATTTGGCGTTCACGTCGGAATTAAGGCTGGGGAAGATTCATGTGCAATGCGGAGACAGCATGCTCCGTTATACAGTGAGCCATCTCGTGAGTCTTCCATGTTGCTGGCGATTTGTGATTTGCTTCTTCCCGTTCTCTCGCGACCCTACGGGACGGTCAACTTCCCGTGTCCTTGCTAAAACGTTTTGAACGCTAGTCTATTTCCAGGTCCAAGCTAGTCTGGACACGCGGCAACAGTTGTCCGGTTTGTGCAATCTCGAACCGGGCCTGCCAATCGGGTATGATAATGATCACCCGGACCGCGAAGCGGTATTTCACTAATATTGACCATACCATGGAACTACTTCACGACATCCTTATCTTGCATACTCTGGAATTCTATCCTGATCATAACGTCGCGTATGCAATCACTTCATCGTCTAATAAAAGGTTGTCGTCGACTCATCGGAAACCCAGAGGTGACAGTAAAGTCCGATATGGTTCCTTTTTGTGCAGGTTTCTGAATCCGTACTATGGCAGGTGGTTTGCTATTTGACTAGATAATAGTCAGGGCCAACACTGGTTCAATAGTGGGCCCGATGAAAGCACATGCGTTCGACGAAATCGTGATACACCTGATGCTCTGGCCTCCATTACACTCGGAGCAATTCCTTAATCCCCCTGCGGGGTCATTCTATCTCCCGCTCAAAATAGCACAGTACCTTGATAACGGGGAAAATACAAGTTCACGGTTGGGTTTAAGTTTCCCATTACTCTGATACACCAATCATCATTGCTCTTTAAACAATTGGCCCTCTGCTTTGGCTGCATGTTTTATGTCTTTGCTATGTTGTCGACCTGGACGACGCCATCTCTCCGTTTGAGGAAACGCCGCATATCTTCGCTAGCAAATGTATGCCTCCTGCGTCCTGATATCACTTGGGAACACATGACTGGACTCCCGTGAAGCCATCAAGGCACTCATACTGGAAAATCTCGATATGCACTTTCCAAGCCTGATATGATAAACTGTCGCATGACAACAGGAACTCGAGGCCATTGCTGTGTCTCGAATCGAAGAGATCTTACTACTCAAACCGCCATTTGAACCCAAAGAGGTGGATAGTTATATTGCAGGAGATCGCCGCTTATGCTTTACATTTTGCACTACACCTTCATTTCCGCACCGACGAGATAACCGCTTCAACTGATTTCGAAGAAATAAAATCACATGGTAAGGGGTGATTTGTCTAGGGATTCGAAGATGCAATAAAGTAATTAATTAAGGAGTCCATACAGAAATGCATGTGGTTGAGTAGAAGCACTAGACCCTTCCCCACCTCGTCAGCTTTGTTGATGCTTCTGGAATACCAAGAACTTCCTAACCTCGGTGAAATACCGCTCTCTCACATACCTCCGGACAGCTGGTAACTTCCAATATAGCTCTTATAAGTCCCTCCAACACCCAATCCGAAAAGTAAAATCGTACCATACCATCCCGCACTATCACCCCTTCTGACTCGCTACACGGAGTCGCATATGTTCCCCATTCCATGGTCTCGATCAGCCGGAAAAAGAACATTCCGTCTGTCAACCATGGGTATTCTCTGCACATGTTTCTATTGCGTGCACTATGACTCCCATACTTGTCCGCGCAGGCGGCCGAGTATGCGTATTGTCTTCTTATCCACTAGTTCGTTGCACACATGTACAGTTTGTATTTTTACGTCATTTCATCCGCGAAGGGTGGCGCGTCTAAAACGGCCAGCGGGAATGGCGGACTGGTGGGGGTACGCCTCACATCAGAGCATTCGTACGCCCAGAGATGCGTTGGGAATACTGGGGGTGTCATCATTAAACTATGACTCACATAGGAAATGAAATTTGATTTCAAAAAACAGACCCTCGGGGCGCGCGACTTTGTGAATAAGGATGCCCATGATGTACGGATTGCATATGAGAATCATTGCAAATGCGAAAAAGTAGGTCGATTAGGATCAAGCCGGATACCTGCGATCAAACAAATACGCCTGTGGTTCAAACGGATTCTTTTGCGCAATGTCTTCCCGGTCTTCTCCGCGAATTATCAACCAAGTCATAAAAAAGAGAGACCACCTGACCATGGACGTCGCCGTGAACGAACACATGAACCCGATCACATTGTGAATTACATCGCCACAGGGGAATGAATTGCTTCATGGGGGCTTGACTTGCCGCCCAAGATAGAGAGTCCATATGATGTCTTACATCATTAGGCCCCTTGCATATTGCGAAGGAGGACTCGAACAGTGGTTTTTGATTTGGGGGTTTATGGTAAACCGGATCTTGAAGTTACTGTTATCGGCTTGATGCGTCGGATGATTCCTGAATTGTTTCATCGTTATCCGCAAGCGATGTAAACGATAAGACGTGCGCGATATGCCAAGCGACGTCCTGGATCCAACCGGACGCAGCAAGTGCATCCTATGCTGCGCTGAAACACACCGACTGGGTCCAGAATACCGTACACGGCAGTCATAAAAGTACCAAGATGGACGGACAATGCACCATAACGTGTTCATTGCAAGGCTTCCCTAGGGAAGAAACAACAACACAACAGCGTGTTGATCAAGGAATTCGAAGGTGGTCTGGAAAGAAACCAATGCATATGAGAGCCACGGCTGCCACGCTGTAGCCGCCCGGCTGCCATGACACCATAGTCACGCCAGATTGGCTCATCAGACACTTTAGGGAGCTCAGTGAATGGAGCCTGAAGGCGAGCTGCCCCGAGTCTGAGACCTGATATCCGACAGGTTGCCAAAAGTTGCAGGACTGTCCGCGACGTCGTCAATTTGGAAGCAAGGATATGACACGTAATATTTCTTTACTAAGAGCTGCCTAGGCTGTGACACATATCAAGGTCGAAGCACAGCAGCGGGCGGCCCTTGCTCGCGTCCATCTCCTGTCAGACGACCGACTGGCCGCGTGGTGACGTTTCTACTGTTCATCGTTAAGACTGTCACGTAAAAGGTGTAAAAGTCCTGTTACCTTGAGCCTTGCGTTCCATTTGAGTTGATCTTCAGCAATCATTGCGTTCTATGCCCGCGTGCTCGACGTTCGTCGCCGCCGCGTCGGTTGCACAGCGCCGCGGCTACTAGACAGGTGACCAGGTGCAAATTGGAATCGCATCATTACACAGCCACAGCCTATTGCTTCAATCCCTAACGTTCAAGTTTCCGGTGATAATAGAATCGGACGGATCTCATTTCATCTACGCCATAACTTATGCTGCACCAAGGCTACACTCGCCAGGCTCGTGGCAGTAGTCTTATCACTCAAATCAAGTAAGGCAGCGAACTCACGGGTTTCAAATACTGATTGACAAGGCACATATGTTGCAATGTTCGCATACGAAGAGAAGCCTATGCGCCACAACGATGATTGCTTCAGAAGGCACAGTGCATTCGCTGTGAAAATTCTGAGGCATTGGACACTGGTACATATGTCATAACCTGCTACATTAGGAGGAATCATTTGCAATGTCGAGATCAAGATGCGGACGAACTAGTCGGTCAAGCAAGTGAACACTTCGGTGAGTCTCTTCTATCGTTGGTCTATGCACACTTTGATTCGCTGTAGATAATGTCTTCTCCCGCCTAACCGTACCCGTCCATGACGTTGGGGGCGACTTCTGCGGTGGACCGGTGCCACGCAAATGAGTTTTCTCAACTTCTACTTGATCGCTCGTATCTGATTACAGTACCCCCGGTGTACAGCAGTTACTCGGATCGCACAATGTACCCGATGTGGATCGTAACGTTTCGAATAACGGTATTTCCAGTACGTACGCACAGGAGCATTAAATGCGCCAATATGTTCACCCTGATCGCACAGGCTTTGGTTACTTATATGCAACTTGAAGCCTATCTTGTTGAGATTGACCTGGATGCAATTGATCCGCTTCACTATGTATTTGCCGTCCACCTGCCGGGACACCCTGATGCGGCATACGTTGGACGGCCTCGCTTGAGCACTACTTTCAGGTTCCAGCCACATGCCGTTGATATCCCGGACTTGCGGCGGAAGCATGCGGCAAGTTGTTGTTGTCACTTTGTTCTGCAGAAGGCTTTTCAAGGCTTTTGAATTCTTCGTAGCTATATTATAGGTAAGGTCATAGCAACCTTTCAAGAAAGGGTCTGATGGAGGCGCATGCATTCGACGAGTTTCTGACCCACCATTACACTCGTGACGCTTGCAGGTCACCCGTAATTCACCACAGAGTGCTACAGAACGCTCTGTGGCACTCGGTAGCACAATCCAACCCGCTGATTGAGCCATATTTACGCTCAGACAGACAAGCTTGGGAACTCTGTTCTCAACAGCGGGGTAACCCTGATGCCGACACCAAAGACAGCCTGAGTGTGTAACTTTTTTTTCGTTATGACGTCGAATTCTTTCTTCTGAGGGATACATACACTGACTCTGATTTGTCTGCCGATAACCTGGTTCTCACACTTTGACTACATCTAGGCTGACTCTATGATCTCGTCGAAGCCATTTCCCTGTCAAGGAAGCCTCGCATCCTTGCTATCAGACTTATATCTCCTGCGGCTGATAGGCTTCGATGACTTGGGAAACGTACTTGTCGCAGGCTACAGAATCCCCGATGCAACAAATCAACGTTATCATCTACACGAGGCAGCGGAATTGCGTCCACTATGACATGATACGAGCGCGTTATTGTGTATGCCAACCACCCTCGATACAGCAGGCGCGTGTGATAATTCTTGATGAAGCCAACCCCACTGGGATCCAGTCTGACTCTAACGTTATCCGAATCTGCCAAGTTAAAAACCTTTGATTGGCAAGATGACCTCAAGGGGTTAATATCCTGGCCTTGCAACAAATTACATTACGTCGCAGTGCTTTATTATCAACAAACAAAGTACCACTGGCAAGTACAAACAACATAAGAGTACTCGAAGTACCTATTGGTTGTCATACGGACTGATTGGTGTTTCATAATTCCTGGCGGCAACACCGTACCCTCGCAAGTGCTGAGAAGTACTGGCAGTCATGTGCACGGGCCTTCCGTTAATTTCCAATGTTCGCGTCCATGGAAAATATGTAGGCACATTGTCAACGTGACGTACGAAGAGTCTCGTGCATTTCAATGAAGTCATTTTGGCCCGTGTTGCCCGCTCGTACCACTCATATCTCACATGCTTCTGACTATCTTTGGTGGCTAAGATGTTCATCATCCGTTGCCAGTGGAGCGCCATAACAGGGTTGTTGTCTAAAAGCCCTTGATTCCCGAACTTCGAAGCAGGGCTTCTCGCGTCCGACTACTATTTGGTCACCGTACGCATGATCAGCACTCGAGGCGTGTTCACGGTATCGATTCTAACGCCGAGTTCACATAATGCAGGCCAACGCCACGGGTCGCACGTGCTCTCAGATAAGCAAGTCAGGTCTACTAGTCGGGGCCACTGCTTCCAGATGCCGCCTGCCCCATTGTAACCCCCAACCTTGAGTTTAAAAATGTCGTTCTTTGTTATTTACGGCAGGGGACCTGAGACCTGAGCGCCTAGGCGTTGTCCAACCGGAAGACGGAATCGAACTTCGTGCGCACCCAAGTATAGATTTTCTAGAAGAATTTCTGTGATACACCATGCGCTGATATTGTCAAACACTCCCATGCTAACGAAGTCTGGACTCTGGAGCTAATACCAAGAACTCTTCTCCCTCTTACCAAAAAGGAAAAGCTCAATTATTGAATTGATTGTCTGGGCGTTGAACGCATCCCCCGTTGTGTATGTACATGTAAACTAGAACAGTTACTAAGTACTGTTTGGCCTCTACGTATACACGTACAACGGTAGATACAAGAAAAATTACTTAAATAAAAAAATCCATCAATGTCTCTATTGTTGTGGGTAATTCTGTTGATGGCGTCCATTATGCAAAAGAAAGCAAGAAGCAAAGCGAGCTATAATAATCCGGCTATAACACCACGAGAAATAAACGAGGGACAAGAGTTGGAGATTTGTGGTGGCATGTAATAGCGCTTGAGTTTCCATCCACCTGGGATTATCCGATGTGGTATGTACATTTGCATGAAAGTTTTGGATCATACGATCGCTGAGATGGTCATGCCGGTCGTTAAGTCGTTTTCGGAAGTGATGGGAAAAGCCCGATCGGAAAGTATTGTCCCTCAGTGCACTTTCTTCTTCTTTCTGCCGTCAAGGACCGCACCAGCATTGGTAATCAACCGATGAAGTTCGCCGGACTCGTTAAGCTCGCGGATGGCAGCTATGGAGCCAACGGACTTGCCCCCAATAAGCATGAGGGGAAGATCGGTCGAAGATGTGAGACGATGTAACAAAGGGATCAAAACTTCTGAGTCCTCTGAGAACACGTGTAGAGTGATGAGCGACTAGTAAATCAAAGTCAGGGAACCCGCTTACCTCGTTGATCAACTTCAAAAGTCATAGGAGGCGGTTGTAAGTCCATAACTGCAATGATGCGTCTTATTTCCCTAGAATGTGCATTGTGGGCCTGGGACGAGCGATGAGCATCAGCATGAGGCTAAGAAGGAGAAGAAGCGACTAACCTTGGTGAACAACATAACAGGATATCGAGACCACACGTCTTGCACAATCTGGTTTAATTCGTCTGCGGCGCGTGGACTACGAGTGTCGAAGTCAAGTACAAGTTGGGGGTCAATAGGTTTGGCTGGGTCTATCGAGCGTGGAATCATGTTCTGTGGTAGTGCTGCTATGAAAGCAGCTACTGCTGCCAGCTCTTGCGACTCGTCCAATTCTATTTGGGGACGGTTGAGATTGCTGACGACTGTCTTTCTTTGGCTATTCGAAGGTAGACGGAATAGTCTAGACGACGGTGGAGGATCATCTCTGTCTTGTTGATGTGATCCATGTGTACCCGCGTGACCGAGAGCGTCGGTCCGAAGTGCTATTGGAGCAAGGTCTAATGAAGGCCTTGCTACAAAAAAGATGTAAAATGACACAACGATAAGGCTGATGAGAGCCAGAGAAGTCGCTCTATGATTGAGTGACTTTCGTTGGTGCTGCAGCGAATGCAGAATGGAGGTGATGGGGAGCGTCGACATGATGACCGACGGAGTGAGTTAATCGGGAAGGGAAAGGTAAAAGAGCGTTGAGGACTAAAAAAGAGCCTAGATAAATGAATGGCAAGTGAATGAAAGTTTTGGTCGGTTATTTTGAAAGCGAGGCCGAGAAGTTGGAGTGCAACCCGAAACAATGAAAAGCAAAAGGAATTGAATCGAGCCTAATTGATCTTCTCATCGGCTCGAACCTTTTTAGTCACACGGGAATTCCGCTTATACCTAATTTGGTATGTTACTCCGTAAAACGGCCGATCTTTATCGATATTATCTTTTGATGCGCCATGGATGCGGCGAAACGCACATGGAACAAACGTTTATAGTGGCGACGTGGCCTCCGGATTTACGTGGGAATATAATATACCTCGCCGCTGAGTGTACGCCGCTGTTAACTGTCCTCAACCATATGTATTACGGATCTCTGTCGTCTTATCGTGTATATGTACCTTATATTTCTCATTGGTGGACCTAGATTATCGCCATCGGGCATCTTCTCATCCAAACATGTCCGTTCAAGTGCCGTCAGTGCACGGATTTGTTTGTTAATCATACTACGTATTCGAATTCCCCATACCCTCTCCGAAAGGTACACCACAAACTCAAATGCCCTTGTTCTTCAGCTTCAATTCTTCTCTTATCGAAACGTACCTGTCGAAAGTCAGTCTAACCCGCATAATTTATAATGCTGACTTTCCGACGTCGGACGGGTAAACCCGTAAACCCGTCCGCCCTCAAGTTATTCAGGGAAGCTTATTGACTCCATGTCCGTCTTACAATTGACTCCACTACTGGCTTATCACCATGCTCTTGGACACATGTATAACCGGTGAATTGGCAGTTGCATTATAGGTCACATAAAACCCACAAATAGTTCCACCGCAAACCCCTACTCGGATGAACAAAACAGCATAATAGCAGTACACATAAATATGTAGATGTTAACAATACAGCGTTCGATTTCAAGCACATCTCACTGGTTTCATCACATATGATGACGTGGACACCCCATAACTCTATTGCGTCTCTCGCTCCTTCACGATATCTTCCCTTACCGTCATCCCCGCATTCTCAAACATCTTCTTCAGCTTGCCTTGTGCACGCAACGTGTGCAAGTCGTCGCTTCCGCCGAGTCCCTCTCCATTCAGGATGATGTTTGGGAACGTAGAATGCTCGGTGAGACGGGTAAGGATGAGCTTTATAAAGTCCCAATCATCTGTAAAAACAATCAGTGCATGCATCATAGAGGTAAGCACAGCCACGACATACCTCGAAGATCAACTTCGATGATTTTAGGGGGAGGAGAAAGATTATACGACTCCAATAACTTCTTAGCTTTCGTTGAGAATCTACATAGAACCGGAGCGCATAAGGCTACCGCACAAATCAAATTACAAGGGAAAAAGAACGCACGGGCAATATGACTGATGCAGACACAGCATCAGAACCTCACAGGATCCAGTAAATTGAAGCACCTGACATACCTTCGAGAATACGATCAGTGGATACTCTTCTCTCAGCTTTCTCATATGGGATTTCCAATCCGGTTGGTCACCACCAAGATACACACTCAGATCGATCGGCGCAGCAGGGTTTATCGAATGGGACAGCATGCGATCGTCATCGCTCGTCACGAAATGCAGCAAGCCATATATCTCCTCCACTGGTGGACCTTTGACCATCGAAACGATACTGGCACGTGAAAGCGACGAGGATATTCCCGAGAGGTTGAGAGGAGGGAGCGACCATGGCGTTCTAAAGAACAGGCAAAAGGCGAGTAGAAACAGCTGGAATGAGGAGAATACGACGACGACGGTACGATGAGCATGTGGAGCGACGGCTCGTCGAGTCGCTGGCCATCTTGTCGTCTGAGGAGGCGTAGATCCTATTGCAACGACTTCAAGTTGGCAACACAGTGAATTCAAGTGCAAACCCGGTAGTCACTTGGCAAGCTGGCACGCTCACAGGGAAGTATTGGATTTGAAAGAATGGGGCGGCCCGTTCTCAGGCTGGACAAGATCGTCGGACCGAGACTGGATTGCAATTGAAACAATGAGCGCGGGATAAAAGCAGTCTCAGGACCAGTGTTCAGACTATATACTTATCCGTGGAGGACAGCCATGGACGCCGTGGGTTAACGTGAAAATTGAAGTGGGTCTGTTCAGTGCTGTGCGCCCCAATGGCTTGTGAGAATTGAATGTTCGGAACCGCCTGCGGCAGTACTTACTGCCTCCTTTTAGCCGACCGCCTCGACGTTTGGGGTCTGGCCGAAGGTAATTTTATAAGGCTTGGCCTATAACTAAATTATTACTAATAACTCAAGCTGGGTCGACCAGACTGTGCCACGTTCAACGAACTAGTTCAAATCCCATGCTGCCCCAAAAGGCAATTCCCCACCTCGAAGGACGTACGGGGAGCGGACCTCAAAGAGTGTCGAAGCTGGCGTTAACGTCCACCACGTATCGATACGTGTTACGCAGTTTACCGTGACAGTTTCTTTCGCAATGCGGCAAGTATCTCGTGATACGCGCTCTTCTAATCATGTCGTGTCATGCCGGGTATCATTTTCTGCAACGAGGCTGCTTGGTCTAGTACACTCCAACATGTGTCTACATCATGGCGTGTCACCGAGCTCGAGGACATATAGTGTGTCAGTACTTTAGTGCCGGCACATGGGGATCATTGCGCCGAGTCCCGAACTCTTCCACGTGACTATCATGGGTGCCATCGCATCCATCTCACTGATCGTGTTCGATTTCATTCAGTAGATCATCATGGATAACATGGAAAGAAGAATAGATTATGTGGTCTTTGACATGGATGGTGCGTAGAGCTTCTAACTTCCTCGAGCACTCAAGGCAAGACGCGTCTTTGACAGGCCTTCTCATCGACACGGAGAGAGTATATACCGAAGTCACCAGTACGCTCCATGTCGCTGCGCTCTTCAACAGCTGACACAAACTCCAAGATGATATCCTCGGTCGCTACGGCAAGATCATGACATGGGACATTAAGGCACAGCTCATGGGAAAACGTACGCTCTCTGATCTCTCTGGAGTCTGGACTTATACCATATCGCAGCACGAATTGAATCTGTGACACACCTGCTTTCTTTGTTTCCCGGCATCGACATCACCATCGACCAGTACCTCACAGAGTCCCAAGAAAAGCAAGATGCGAACTGGCCAACCGTGCAGCTCCTTCCGGGAGTACAGAGGTTAATCCAGCACCTCGTGAAACACAACGTGCCAATCGTAGTCGCCACTGCTTCCTCACGACGGAACTTTGTCCGCAAGTCTGAGAATCTCAAAGAATTCTTTGATTACTTTCGAGGCAACATCGTCTGTGCTGATGATGTAGCAGGCAAGACTACGGGGAAGCCTGACCCGTATATTTTCCTGCACGCTGCAGGTGTTCTAGGCAAGGCAGTAGGCGCTACGGAGCAGTGCACAGAGGCTGAGGCTGTGGAAAGGGGCAAAGGACTCGTTTTTGAAGACGCCGTTTATGGTGTCCAAGCTGGGAAAAGAGCCGGAATGTCAGGTAGGTTGTTGTTTCAGAGTTGTAATTGGTCTCACGTTCTCTTCAGTTGTCTGGGTACCTGACGAACGCCTTTTGGACGTTGCTAGTGCCAACCCATACGTCCCAGATGAGACGCTTACGTCCATCGAGCATTTCAAGCCCGAGAAGTGGGGCCTCCCACCTTACGACACCCAATGACGTTACCGATTATAGCTTGTAAAAGGCGCTGCCACACATAAAAACTACTCTTCGTCGGTGCAATCACATTTTCTCCGATCTCGGGCATCACGCTGGCGTAAAGTACCCTATGCCATATTGCTTGTGGTTTCCTTTACGGTCGCAGTATTTGTTGACCTGAGACACATTGACAGTGGTGGCTGCCGCGTTTGACATGTCTAAGAAAGTGATGGAAGGGACGTCTGGGGTCTGGCCGAAGGTAATTTTATAAGGCTTGGCCTATAGATGTACCAAGGCCACGAACCTGGCCTTGACCACAACCTATAACTAATAACTTAAGCTGGGTCGACTAGTGCCACGTTCAACGAACTAGTTGAAATCGCACGCTGCCCCAAAAAGCAATTCCTACCTCGAAGGATGGGGAGCGGAGTGTTGAAGCTGGCGTTAACGTCCACCATGTATCGATACGTGTTACGCAGGACAGCGCAAGACTTTACCGTGACAGTTTCTCTCGCAAGTATCTTGTGATATGCGCTCTTCTAATCATGTTCTGCAACGAGGCTGATTGATCTAGTACATGTACACTCCAACATGTGTCTGCATCATGGCGGATCGCCGAGCTCGAGGACATAGTGTGTCAGTGCCGCCACATGGGGATCATTGCTGCTTGACCGCGCCGAGTCCCGAACTCCTCCACGTAACTATCATGGACTCAGACACCATCCGGGGATTGCAAGATGTCTTAAATATTGCAATCCCCGATGTGAGAACAGTGCCATCGCATCTATCTCACTGATTGTGTTCGATTTCATCCAGTAGATCATCATAGATAACATGGAAAGAAGAATAGATTATGTGGTCTTTGACATGGATGGTGCGTCGCACTTCTAACTTCCGTGAGTACTCAAGGCAAGACGCGTCTTTGACAGGCCTTCTCATCGACACGGAGAGAGTATATACCGAAGTCAATAGTACGCTTCATGTCACTACGCTTCTTCAACAGCTGATACAAACTCCAAGATGATATCCTCGGTCGCTACGGCAAGGTCATGACATGGGACATCAAGGCACAGCTCATGGGAAAACGTACGCTCTCCGATCTCTCTGGACTCATTCAACGCAAACCATATCGCAGCACGAATTGAATCTGCGATACACCTGCTTTCTTTGTTTCCCGGCATTGATATCACAGTCGACCAGTACCTCACAGAGTCCCAAGAAAAGCAAGATGCGAAGTGGTCAACTGTCCAGCTCCTTCCGGGAGTACAGAGGTTAATCCAGCACCTGGTAAAACACAACGTGCCAATCGTAGTCGCCACTGCTTCCCTACGACGGAACTTTGTCCGCAAGTCTGAGAATCTCAAAGAATTCTTTGATTACTTTCAAGGCAACATCGTCTGCGCTGATGATGTAGCAGGCAAGACTATGGGCAAGCCTGACCCGTATATTTTCTTGTATGCTGCAGGTGTTCTAGGCAAGGCAGTGGGCGCTACGGAGCAGTGCACAGAGGCTGAGGCTGTGGAAAGGGGCAAAGGACTCGTTTTTGAAGACGCCGTTTACGGTGTCCAAGCTGGGAAAAGAGCCGGAATGTCAGGTAGGTTGTTGTTTCAGAGTCTTAACTTAGGGTCTCACACTCTCTTCAGTTGTCTGGGTACCTGACGAACGCCTTTTGGACGTTGCCAGTCCCAGCCCACACGTCCCAGATGAGACGCTTACGTCCATCGAGCATTTCAAGCCGGAGAAGTGGGGCCTTCCACCTTACGACACCGAATGACGTTATTGATTATTAGCTTTTCGGCGTGAGCCGTTCCATAATAACCCAAGGTGTACAAGGACGTCATTTCCATTTCAACTTGATTTACAAATAGATATCGAGCACCCTAGAGGCGCTGCCACATATAAAAGCTACTCTTCGTCGGTGCATTGGACAAAAATAGTTCAAAGTCCCCCGATTGAAAGTGCACTAGTGATCCTTTGTGGCTGCCTTTCCGCACACTATCACAATCACATTTGCTCCGATCTCGGGCATCACGCTGGCGTAAAGTACAGCATGCCATATTGTGCTTGTGGTTTCCTTTACGGTCGCAGTATTTGTTGACCTGAGACACATTGACAGTGATGGCGACCGCGTTTGACATGTCTAAGGAAGTGATGGAAGGCTAAGTGACAATTGTGATTATTATGACTGAAATCAGAACGGAGCTGTCCATTATAGATCCATTTGACCCTGGTACAAAAAATGTCAACACAACGGATGCGAGTTATCCTTGAAGGGTCCACCTTTTTGTGAACAATCCATGTCCGTACGTAAGTCGTCGACAACGTTATTGACTGAATTGAATAGGTCAACAACGAACTTGACAAGACGCATGGCAACTGATTGTTGGCAGGTCAGCGCTCAGCACGGACGGTTGGCAGATGACAGAACCGTACTAGCAGGTGGCAGAATCACACTCCGCGTGCCGATGGAAGCCTAAAGTAACGGAGCAGCCGTGATGAACCCCAGTCACGAACTAAATGCACATTAATCATATTCAGGTCTGGGCCATGGAATGTTTGACGGTATATGCCGTAGCAGATGACGATGATCGATGTTTTCTCACTCCAGGCCAAATCCAAATACGGACATGCCCTTGGAAATCACTTGAAGGCAAAGAGTCATGATGGCATCTCGAGATCTCGACTAACTGGTACAGCGCAACAGTTCTGCTGCATGAGCTAATTCCATGTCTACCACAAATCAGCGCGCTGCTAGTACTAGTTCAGGGGGTTCCATCATGCCAAGCCGCTGTTTGCCGTCCCCTGACCTCCTGAACACTGTAAATAGTACTGTGCCCTCAAAAACGAGGCGCTGGCTCCACTCCAGGGGTTGGCTGTTGCTAACTTTGGACTGTTCTCAGCCCCGGGCACCTGACGGAAACTGCAAGTGCCAGCACATACCTCGCAGAGCTGAGACGTCCACATTCATCAAGCATTTCAAGTAGGAGTGTGGCTTCTCGCCTTAAGATACTAATTGCACAATAGCAGAAGGGGGGGTTATTCGATTGAGACCTGATTTAGAAGTGGATATAGTATCTTGTTCATAACCTTACTGTACCTACCAGAACATGCGATGTGCACGGCACTTGACCTTGACTGTACAAGGGTTAGAAGTACGAACCAGCTCCAGCATACGTGCGCGAACTAGTAGTACTAGCAAGAGCCTCATCGCCAGACGAATCATCGTGTTCTAGTGTTAGCGTTTCCGTCTGTAGACGTGTATACTCGACGGAACCAGGTCTGAATGCTGGGGAAGGAAGTGTGTAGGGCTTTGCATGCACCGCTAAAATCCCTGTAGGTATCCGCGCTTGCAAGTCCTGCTGCTTAGGCACAGGCTGAAATGTCAACTGGCCGTCGTAAACAAAAAAAATGATCAGTACCCAATATTTCACGCAATTGAAACACCTCCGACTTACCGAATCGTTGATTTTCTTATAGTGTTTCAAAAATACGCTCACGCTCTCCAATTCATCCGCGACACGTCCTTTGCGTCCCCGCTTCTCGCGGTCCCGCCCTACTGCAATACCAAGCCCGCTTTCCTTCATGTCCTCAAGCTCCTTCTTTGCCCACAGTAACCATGCCACCGCCTCCCCGCCCTTTTCGCCCACTCCACTCTCTCCTGCATCAACGCCAAGCCACTTATGCGCAAGCGCTGTATGAAATGCCGATGCATCTGCAAGGTAACGACGCAGCTCGACGCAGACTTCTGCGTTGGAGTCTGGATTAGAAGACGAGGAAGATGGGCGTGTGGAGCCGAGCGTCATGACAAGCGCACGCGCAGAGGAGTAAAGCGACACGCATTCAAGGTGGAATTTAAATATCAGCGGGATGGAGGGGTGTGATTTTGGAAGCGGAGGGCCAGGGGATATGGCGTTGTCATATGCAGACTTGGAGAGAAACTTGCGAATTGCCAGAGTTTGCGCGTCAGCGAGTGCCATCCTAAAACATGGTATCCAACATGAGATGAGATGAAATGAGGGAGCGTACTGACTTTGCGAGGGCAGCATTGACCTCCTTCCTCAGATCGGGCGGCCTAACCGACGCACCCTCCCCTTTATCCCAATCCAACAACACCTTCTCGCTCACATAGGTAAAGATCCCGCTCGCTCTGCACAGCATTGTCACCGCAAAATTGAGCTTCTCGTCCTTTGCTTTTCTCTCGATTTCTGAGATCGCTCGATCATACTCATAAGAACCGAGACTTGCAACCGTCACACGCGCGAAATTCGACAGCGCAAAGGCATAAGTGAGCAACGAGGATGCAAGGTCCGCATGCAGCGATGCTAGAGCGACTCTTGGGGACATGTGAAATAGATGTGCGGACAGTGTCGTGCGCCAGCTGAATTCTTTGAATCTCAGGCTGGTCAGTCAAACACATATCGGATCACCATAAGACTCACGGGGTTCGGATTTCAGACGAATGTCCCCTGATACGACACAGGCCATGATCCCATGCAAGTATGGGAGGTAGTCATCGAGAACCTAGGGGATATATACTGTGCGAGCCCCGGATTGGAAACGGTCATGCACACCTTGATCAAGCGCAGATAATCCTTGTCGTCTGTGTCAGTGCGTTTGGTCACTTTCAGGACACCGCGTAGGTTTGCTCGCGCTTGGGTGGCTTCAGCGATGTGACTTGCATATGCATTGGATGCTGTGGTATCAACGCAAAAGTCTCCAAAAGAGATAGCGCCGGTAGTTGGGAGTTCGTAAAGATAGGTGCTCATTTTGCATTCATCAGCCACTGGCGGTAGAAACAAGCGACAAGTTAAGCTTAGGTTACTGTTCGATAAAAATAAGACGACTTCAATGAACAGGATAAAATGTGATCTGACCCAGGCTCGAACTGAGGACCTTCTGTGTGTTAGACAGATGCGATAACCAACTACGCCATCAGACCGATACCAAGGCAAGGAATATTTAGTATTTAATTATGTAATGGCCATATGCAGCAAAACTTTTTTCACCGCTTGCCCCATAAAATATTTCAAACGTGCAGTTAACCTCCCAAAGTCTTCCGACACATCAGATTGTTCATGTCGCCAAAATTTTGATTCCAACAATTCTAAGAAAATCTGCAATTTTCTATGTGGAGTCAGACATGAATTAGAGGCTGTACGATGCCGTGGGAGTTGGGTTCGAAGCTATGTATCGGTTCTGCAGATATCCCGACGAATTCTGATGCCGCACATACGGCCGCAGGCCTAGGGCTGTCCCGCACACCACGGCCCTTGCGTTATTAATACCAAGTCCGACTAGCTATTATAGTTAGCGGCTGTTGTACAGACGACTATTCGGATCCAAGTCAAGCTTGCAACGACTATAACCCCAACGCTACACGAGTGGAAGCTAGGGTAATGTACAGAGGTAAGTACCAGTGGTGCACCTCGTGCCGTCGCCAAAGCAGAACGTACAGAACTTGAGCTCAGAAATGATTGTGCTGCGTACTAATATGAAACCCAATGAGCATCACCAAATATCCGGAGATACTACTACTTCCGACTCCAACCCAACTTGAAGCTCAATTGCCACACATGCCATATAAATATCGGACATCGAGCTACCGGATCCTCACTCTCCGCACTTTTGGATTCACTGCACTTGACCAGGTTCCTTGCATCACCAACTGGTATCGGTAAACGCTTCGATAAGCCAGACATAACGATCAGACTGTTTCGTATCACCTTGCGTTGGGCACGATGAGTAGCAGCTTAGAGGGCTCGGCAAATAGTTTCGATGCATATGTGGCCATCATCGGGCCGACCCAAGTTGGTGGGCTTTTGAGCGCTGCATTATTTGGTTGTCTTGCCTGCCAGTCCTACTTGTATTTTACAAGATTCAGGAGCGATGGCTTCGCCCTGAAAGCAACTGTGAGTCGGTCAACTTTGCGATATATTCTTATTGATCGCGTCATATGTTTAGGTATCTGCAATCCTGTATGTTCTATGTTTGACTTGGTGGCTTCGATTGACATCCGCTCTGTAGTTTGATTCAGCTGGGCCAATTTGTCTGCATAATATTAACATTGCGGGCAATGACTGTCAGTGCCTATAGTGATCCATCTCGGCTCAACATCCTTCCTCTAGCGGCAGACCTGGTCATCATGTTGAGCGGCTTTACGGTATTCATCGTTCATGTAAGTGATCGATGTATATTAATTATTTGGCGCTTACGGGTGGTGTCAGTCATTTTACGCATTTCGACTTTGGAAGTTGACTAGAAGCCTTTTCTTCCCTATTCTTTGCGGAATGCTCTCTGTGGTCGCACAAATCTCCATGCTCATTCTCTCAGTAAGGGCGTTTTCTATGACGGACATCATGACGTTTATAGACAGTCAAATTGTGCTGATTGCGCTGTCTTGGATTGCACGTGCGGCCTGTGACTCCATCACCACCGTCGGCGTCACCTGGAGTCTGAAAAAGAAACGAGTCTCTGGTTTTAGAGAGTATGACTATGTATCCGACATCGCCTACCACTCCTTACCACATCTGTTATAGCACGGTGACGACGGTCGACCGCTTGATTCATTGGACACTTGGTAAGATAGGAAGCGTATTACTTGAGTGAATGCCTTCTAATGTTACCTCTACACAGAGAGTGCTCTGATCACCAGGTATTTACCTCTCTCATCAGTCGTTTCCTTTAATGATCTCTCAGTTTGACGACCATAACCGTGATAATCTTGGTAAGGATTTTACTTCCCTGAATGAAATGTTCTCTAACTAGCTCCAAGTTTACCGTCATGCCACAAAACTGTGAGTGCGTTGGTAATGCATCTGGCTACGACTGAAATGACGCAGTTGTGTGGTTTGGAATATGGTTGTTGTGGCCTAATGGTAATGATATGGAATACTTCAAATCAAATCAAAATACTGACCCGCATATTATGTAGTCGTAGGGAACTCCTTGTTAGCCTCGTCAGTCACCACATGGATCAGACAGATGATAAACGCGATGAACTTACCAACGTGACATACAGGTTGAATCGGCGGTTACTCCTTCGAGAGAATCGGAAGTCTTCAAGAGGTGATGCCCAGAGTCGCGGTGGTGGCTTGGTGAGCACAATTTAAATAACTGCGCATAAAATATAATTTTGTTTCAGAATGCAATTGGTTTCGCAGCTGGAGATATGCAATCACACAGACACTCGCTGGAAAACTTGAAGAACCGAGACGTTCAAGTTCAAGTGTTCCAAGAAACAGCGCGCCCAATCAATCAGGAACAAAACCGGGTTTCGAAGCCTGCAGTAGTTCATATAAGAGCATCTGTTTCAACAGATGGTGAAAGCAATTGTTAATTATGAAACGAGTGTACGACGAGATGGTGTATCAGTAGGATCCTTTAGGCATGAAAAATCGAACTGAGGACCTTCACAGCGTGTGTTAGACAGATGCGACAACCAACTACGCCATCAGACTGATACGAAAGGTTGCGATTTAAAATTCAAAGCCAAGGAATATTTGTTATTCAATTATGCCAGAACTTTTCACTGCTTGCTCAGATGCAGCCCTCTTCTCTCGACACTGCGGTTGGGAAGGAACCTGGGTTCGAAGCTATGCATCGGTTCTGCAGATATCCCGACGAATTCTGATGCTGTACATACGGCCGCAGGCCTAGTAGGGTGGTCCCGGGACCCGCGTTATTAATACAATGACGGTAGCTATTATAAGTAGCGGCTGTTGTACACAAGTTGTACAGACGACTTATTCGGATCCAAGTCAAGCTTGCAACGACTATTACACCAACGCTACACAAGTGAAGCTAGGGGAACGTACAGAAGTAAGTACTAGTGGTGCACCTCGTGCCGTCACCAAAGTAGAACGTACAGAACTTGAGCTTCATCAGAAATGATCGTCTAACCAATGACATCACCAAATATTCGGGGATTATTACTACTTCCGACTCCAACCCAACTTGAAGCTCAATTGCCACACATGCCATATAAATATCGGACATCGAGCTGCCGGATCCTCACTCTCCGCACTTTTGGATTCACTGCACTTGACCAGGTTCCTCGCATCACCAACTGGTATCGGCAAACGCTTTGATAAACCAGACATAGCGATCAGACTGTTTCGTATCACCTTGCGTTGGGAACGATGAGGAGTAGCTTACTAGAGGGCTCGGCAAATAGTTCTGATGCATACGTGGCCATCATTGGGCCGACCCAAGTTGGTGGGCTTTTGAGCGCTGCATTATTTGGTTGTCTTGCCTGCCAGTCCTACTTGTATTTTACAAGATTCGCGAGCGATAGCCTCGCCCTGAAAGCAACTGTGAGTCGATCAACTTTGCAATATATTCTTATTGATCGCGTCGTGTTTAGGTATCTGCAATCATGTATGTTCCATGTTTAACTTGGTGCCTTCGATTGACATCCGTTCTGTAGTTTGATTCAGCTGGGCCAATTTGTCTGCATAATATCAACATTGCAGACAATGACTGTCAGTGCCTATAGTGATCCATCTCAACTCAGCATCCTTCCTCTAGCGGCAGACCTGGTCATTATGTTGAGTGGCTTTACGGTATTCATCGCTCATGTAAGTGATTAATGTATATTAATCATTTGGCGCTTACGGGTGGTGTCAGTCATTTTACGCATTTCGACTTTGGAAGTTGACTAGAAGCATTTTCTTACCTATTCTTTGCGGAATGCTCTCCGTGGTCGCACAAATCTCCATGATCATTCTCTCAGTAAGGGCGATTTCTATGACGGACATCATGACGTTTATAGACAGCCAAATTGTGCTGATTGCGCTGTCTTGGATTGCACGTGCGGTCTGTGACTACATCACCACCGTCGGCGTCACCTGGAGTCTAAGAAAGGGACGAGTCTCTGGTTTTAGAGAGTATGACTATGTATCCGATATCGCCTACCACTCCTTACTACATCTGTTATAGCACGTCGACGATGGTCGACCGCTTGATTCATTGGACACTTGGTAAGATAGGAAGCGTCTTACTTGAGTGAATGCCTTCTAACGTTACCTCTACACAGAGAGTGCTCTGGTCAATGGGTATGTACCTTTCTCATCAGTCGTTTCCTTTAATGATCTCTCAGTTTGACGACCGTAACCGTGATGATCCTGGTAAGGATTTTACCACCCTTATCTTCCCCGAATGAAGTGTTCTCTAACTAGCTTCAAGTTCATGGTCATGCCACAAAACTGTGAGTGGGTTGGTAATGCATCTGACTACGACTGAAATGACGCAGTTGTGTGGTTTGGAATATGGTTGTTGTGGCCTAATGGTAACGATATGGAATACTTCAAATCAAATGAAAATACTGACCCGCATATTGTGTAGTCGTAGGGAACTCCTTGTTAGCTTCGTCAGTCACCAAATGGATCAGACAGATGATAAACGCGATAAACTTACCAACGTGACATACAGGTTGAATTGGCGGTTACTCCTTCGAGAGAATCGGAAGTCTTCAAGAGGTGATGCCCAGAGTCGCGGTGTTGGTTTGGTGAGCACAATTCAAATAACTGCGCATAAAATATAATTTTGTTTCAGAATGCACTTAGTTTCGCAGCCGGAGATATGCAATCACAAAGAGACTCGCTGCAAAACTTGAACAACCAAGACGTTCAAGTTCAAGTGTTCCAAGAAGAAGAGCTCGATCAATCAGGAACAGAACCGGGTTTCGAAGCCTGCAGTAGTCCATATTCAACAGATTATGAAACGAGTGTACGACGAGATGGTGTATCAGTAGGGTCCCTTAGGCATGAAAATTGATTGAAGCTTTGTTTGTAAGTGAATGTTCCTCGGTTGACTGGCCATAGCAGCTGCATGTGAGTTGCGGACTCGAACGTTCGTTTTCTACCAAGTGCCTGCGGCATTTAGACCAGCATCGATCGTTAGAAATGAATAACGAGCGATATCAATCGTAAGTAAGGATGACACGAACAGAACGAACATCTCGGTACATCTTGAACCTCAGAGTGGCAGTCTTCAAACGTCAAAGACCCACGCCTGCAGTAGTGCGGTGAGGCGGTATCGCTCCGAAACTACAGGAGACCTTCCACAAGACCTTTCACGCCTTTTGTCCCAACAATTCTTTCCAACCTGAACTTATCATACTTGGAATAAATCACCTTTGACATTACATCAGAAGCCTCCACCCCATCATCGAGGAATGGGAAAGACAGGAACTCGGAGAAGAACTGAGGGTGTTCTGGAGGGCCATAGAAAATGAGATTGCGGATGCCTCTGATCTTGTATCTGCAGATACAGGAATCGCTGTGTAAACCATAATTTTACATATGTTTGAATGACATACCTGCGGTAAAAATGGAACCGCTCGCTAACGAGCAAAAATGCCTTTTTACCGGAGAAAAAAGTTTCTCGTGCTCGAGAAATGTCCTGATTGGTAGAGTATCTACATGTAGTTAGTTGACGTCCTCGGGTTTTGTTTTTTTATGCGGAGCTCACTCAGAGAGTACAGTGAAGCTCAGGGAAGACTGCTTCCGGAAGTGGTTGTGCACGCGTATGAAATCGAACGAGGAAGGTATGAAGATCACTGTGTTGGCACTCTGTACCGCGGATTTGAGTACTTTTGGTAGTAGCTTAACATGATGTAAGATGAGAGAAGTCAAGGTTGGAGTCGCAGAACTTACTTGAGTGGTGAAATATGCAAATCTCTTTTCGGGTTCGTCCTTGGGGTTCGCACAGTCGAAAGGAACAAACGTCTTTGCATTGTTAAGGTTGAATTCATGAGGCAATTAAGAAGGCACTCACTTGGTCGATAGACTCCGGAACCTGTATGGCAGGCCATATTTTTTCGACTCTGACCTTCCCTGCAGCATTTTTGAGCGTGGTGTTAAACAGCGCCCTCAATTCTGGCATCTCGAACGGTGACAAGAGGATGGACTGTCGAAGGTATGCCGAACTTGCGGAGACTAAGTCATCGTGCACAATGGATTGTCAAGAAGAAACCCACTGGCCGTCTAAATACCATGGCTTGATACGTGAGAAGTCGGCGTCATGGGAATCTTTTGGCAGGTTGTTCATGTGTGAAAGGACATACTGACATGCACATAATCAGAAAGAGGATTAACATGAAGAATGGTACAAGCGCACCTGGACATGCTCCCAATTTTGCATTGTCAGTGCATTCATTTGGTCTATCACTAATATCTCGATTGATGACAAAAAATCTGCGCTTCTGAAGAGAAGTTACAATTGACCGTTGTATTGGGTTCGCACAATAAACGCACTTTTCTTTCTCGATTGACATCCTCAACCCGAGCGGACTTGCAAAAATGATATCACAACCATAAAAATCGGCAAATAATTTGACACTTTTCCTTGTGAGTTTAATTCCAAGTCTGAAATTATCATCGACATTGCCCTTGAACGTTTCAACATGGTCTCGAGGGTATGTCCCAGGTTCTGCGACTGCCAACTTATCGACTGCATCGGGTGGAAGAGCATACTCAGATAGGAAGCGAGAGTGGTTTTCGATTTGATATGCCGGAGAGGGCGTGTGTGTGGTTAATGCATTGAGCCAAGCGAGTGCCGACGAACGAAACGGGAGAAGAACGAGTACGGAGGGTCGAGTAAAACCTTGATCTTGAACGTCCTCTGGAGGAGAGACTGAAGCAGCTTTCGCATGTGCGAGACGTTCATTGTTTTTCAAAACTCGTCTTCGCTTTCTGTGTTTTTCTATTAACACGGCTGAGTCTAAAGATGGGAAGCAACAAACTTTGTGACGTGGTCCAGCGCGTGCAATGCAACGGCATCTCGTACACTTCGGTGATCCTCCAGAGAAAGTGCAGGATTATATAGATCAAGGTGGGCGGACAAGATCGAGAGTAGATTATCTTGTATCTGCTTTTGATCTGAATTGTACATATATCAATATCATGACATGCGGTACACCGCTAAGCATACCTGACGACTGCTTCGATTGTCGCGTTTGAAATGGGCCCCTCAAACGCTCTGATATCTGGTGATCATTCCATGAATAGTCCGACAACACGATGATATACTACAAGGTGCAACATACTGCTGTTTTTTTGGCCAGTTTTTTCGATGGAGGGATGTTATCTTCGTTTCGTAAACTAAACACAGTTGTTAATTTGCCAACTTTCTCCCTCGAAGACGTCCAACGTCGTTGATCCACAGAACTTCTTGATGCATCTGATGCAAGCTCAGTATTTGGTCCGTAATGCTGTTCGTATGTCGAAGTAATATCTGACGGAGTACCTTTGAGTACATTTCGTTAAACCACACTGGTAATGTACCTTGTGGATCCACATCGTCATTTTCTTCGTTACCTCCCAAGACCTCGTCATCTGTGCCGTTGTTAGTTCTATCGCATAACATCGAGGGGCCTGGGTCCAAGGTAACGTCTTCTACCAGCTTAACCGTCTTCCGTTTGTTTAATTTCTCGGGTGCTGGCGAATCCTCATCCCGTGTTCTTTTTCTGCTTTTCAAAGCAGATACATTTAGTAGAGTCAGGAGACGAGTCGTGGGGGTGTTGACATTCTCGCCGAGGTCCATGGTATACTGTAATTTTGAGAGTGGACGCTCGTCGAGATATTGATCGTAAAAAAACACGATCACACGATCAATCATGTGACCACGACGCGCTCAGGGTACTTTTAGACTTTAGTTGATTCTTGCCGCATATTTGATAATCTTTCCTTCGTTGTAACGTAAACCACTGCTTCATGGTTTTAGGCGTCTCGCCGAAGTCGCAGAAGGAGAACTGATGTTATGCAAGTAATTATCGCATCCGATTATCAGGCCGAACAGCATTTATGAGATTGAGTACCGTACATGCCGTGCTCCACGTTCCACTTTTAGGTTGCAGGGACTCGGAAGCTGTTAGCTTCGGCCTAACACACCGGTCGCGCTCGCTGCCGGTGAGCTCGAAATCTTCGTTATCCTTGGTATCCCTCTTAAGGCTTGGTTTACTTAGCCGTATGGGCGGAGATGAAAGCAGGGTTCATCAAGCAGCTATAAAGTTCAGAAGGTGTGTTTTCCTGCATCTCTGTTATCTACTAGTGATGAACCTTGCTTCCATGTCCGCCCTTCCTTTCGAGCTGAAGCAAGATATTTTTGAAAATGCGGCCAATAGTGACCGTCGTTCGGCCTTGAGTCTGACCCCAGTTGCTCGGCGAGTACAGTTCTGGTGAGTCAATTCACAAGGAAACGAAGACAAACGGTGTTATGCGATCACAGAGCGGAGCCTGTTATCTACAACTGTGTCGCACTGCAATATGGAGGTAGCGATTCAGCAAGGGTCTTGGAGGGATTTATTTCTGCCACCAAGACCAAGACCGCCTCGTTTTTTGCTAGATATGTCAAGATACTGCCTCTCTCTGACATTCCGACGTGCTCCATGATGAAGATTCTTGTATTTGAGAGTGTGGCCATACACTCCGTTAGTCGTCGGGCAATTTGTCGTTGCCAGCTCCATCCGCCCTGCTCATCTGTCTTTTTGAGTCGAGCACCTTGCAGCGCGTGGTCGTGCTCCTAACTTTACCCTTCCATTTTTCCAGGAGCTCACGCATCTGGAACTACATTATACCTGGGGGTAGTTGATGGCCTAGGCAGCGAATTTTGCGATGCTCCCGCAATTGACCCACCTCGCATTTGCATTCGGTTCACCATACTCGTGCAGCTTTATAGCCGGCTATGGCACAACATTGGTAAATTGCAGCAGCTGAAGGTCTGCGTGCTTCGTTGCATGCTCAGCGAGGATGACCTCGGCCGAAGTAGCGATTGTCGATTCCATTGTAGATCCTCGTGTCGTCGTCGTGGGTTGACGCAGTTTGAGTTAGGAGAGGTGGGCGACAACGACGAGGATGACGAGGATGATGGTGAGAATGACGGGAGGGAGGTTTCACAGGCGAGGTGGGCGAGTGGTTTGTGGAATGAGAGGGTAAATTTATGGTACGAAGCAGAGGCTCCGTCATAATTGTCGTTGAGCGTCATGAGGATGAAGATCCAGTCATATCCATTGACCAGAGCACCGCGGATGACTTTCTGCCTAAGATATAGCGAATTGGAAATTCGAACCGAAAAGTTGACAGGATTTACTTACTCGAGGAACTTTCCGTATGCGAACATCTTACATACTGCCTGAGGAACATCGTCTGAGGGATTGCAAAGCTTAGCGTCTATAACGAAGAAGCTCCGTGGCATACTCATCTTCATTTCATAAGGGCTCATAGATTTCACATAGAAATCTAGATGAAAAAATGAGCTGTGCGATTGAAATAAGTCAAGGCAGATTCACTAGCGTCGCGTTGACTTGCTACTATGGCAGTGTAATCTATAAAAAGGGTCGACAAACTCGACAGACTGACAATCGTGGCTGGAACATCCTGTTTCATGTTGAGTACCATGCGCGTATTTGATGGCAGCATTGCAGATGCACGGAAGAAGAACGCTTCAATCCATGCACGAGCGCTTGCTTCAGTCTGGCGGAGTATGAGAGTAATATAAAGGTTCACAGATCATTGACATACTATAGAAATGTGACCTCCCAAAAAATGCAATTGACGAGACAAATATGCGGAAGACCAAAGTTTGATCATTATGTCCGAGTAGACTTGTGACCAGTCGGCAAACCGTCGTATACAATCACACATTCCCTTCGCCTCTCGTCGACTGAGCGCGTCCGAGCCGCCATCAAGATCCTCCGTCGTCAACGCCTTAGGCCGGAAAGCATCCTCAATGTCCTACCTTCTAACCGAAGCAGAAGCAGTACCACATCTCACTCGATATCTCAACACAACGGGACGCCTACGAAAGACCTTCGGTGATTTACCGCTTCCTCGCAAGCCACCAGACTGACGCAATTCCCTCTCCTATTAGAAAGTTATCAAAAGCCATCGAACGCTGCACGTCCCCACGAACGCAACAAACTCCCTCTCCTCTCCCTCCCATGAAACACACTGTATCAAAATGTACATCACTCACTCGCCTACACGGAACCTCACTCAACGACGCTTACAAACGCATCGTAAATGGCCCACACGGCTCATAGGACCATTCATGATATATCCGTTTAACATAGTGCTGCCGCGGTCCGGTCCAGAACCACGGTTCGAACCGGACTTTTGGTCCGGTTCTCTGTGGTTCGGTCCATGGTTCCCTCACCAGCCAGAACCGGACCGGAAAGCGGTTCTGGGATCTGGACCTTCACTAGTGGTCTGGTTCTGGTTCGACTTTCCCGAACCTTCCCGAACCGTTCCTTGACCTTCGAATTCCCTCGACTTCGACACCAACCACGACGACATCGGTGTCCATGTCGACATCAAAACACCGTCTTCGAGATTTGCATTATTTGTTAATCAGGCTACTGTTAGCCTTTTTGAAGGTAAGTACTAATCAATTTATTCTCAAGACTCTGACATATGTTTACCTATATCACAGATATCAGATATCTACTTGTTCTAGTCTATATGCTTCCTGGATAGTCATGATCCTCCACCGGTTCTCAACTCTAACAGATCTCCTTGGATATTGTCGCTCTGTGGTGTTAGGCTATGTGCCATGCATAAAACAGGGTGCCGACCAAAAAACTGTGAGTTATTTGCCTGACGATGTCTGAAGACTGCTGTGCTCTGAACGCTGACGGCACCCTCAAGGATGCTTCTGAAATTACCTTTTTTAATGATCCTGACGATAAAGTACCATTGCCCCAGGTCGCATCTTCTGCCCAGCCATCCTCTTCCACTACATCCGCAAAGGACGCCTTCTCCGTTCTAGGCAGTTCTGTTCCCTCTGAACGCGCTTTCTCCAGCGTGGGCATCACATCAACTCTGCGCCGCAACGCACTCGCATCATCCACTTTCTCCGCGCTACAATTGATGAAGGCAGCCTATAAGAATGGACATGTGTCAGCAGCAGTAGAGGCAGAAGGGTATGCAGTTGGTATGCAGTTAGACTAGCTACCCAATGTCATGTAGATGTCTTGTGAATGTTTTTTCCATTGCTTGAAAAATTTTCGGTTCGGTTCGCGTTCGGACCAGACAAGAACCGGACCAGACCATTGAGAACTGTTCTCAATGGTCTGGTTCTGGGTTCGACAATTTTAAAGAACCAAACCATGGTTCGGTTCTTGGTTCTCATCAAGGACCCTCTGAACCGGACCGAACCGGACCACGGCAGCACTAGTTTAACAAGCCCATCATTCCTTGTACAAGCTCGCCCTAGGCGACCGAGTACGCGTATATAAATGTTAACTGTTAGACCCAGAATCACGACAGCACATACAAAGTCATATCTCAAGACAAGTGGCGCGTCTAAAACGGCCAGCGGGAACAGCGGACTGGTGGGGGCATGCCCTACACCAGGGCATTCACGCACTCGATATTATCACAGGGACACAGGGGGTCCTTTAGAGTAGACTAGAGAGTAGTGTCCTACATAGAGTACCACTCTGCAAAGGACAGAAATTGGAATTAAAAAAAAAAAAAAGATCCTCCGAGATGGCCACAAGTCCCTGTAAGGCTGATGCATCAATTCTGCTAGTTATAGGTGATAGGTAATGCATCAACTATGTACATTACCAAGCTTTCCGATGCATGATTGATGCATCAGAACGTGCAAGTTAGCAGACCTTTAATGGGCTATGGTCTGTAGACTGTAGCACTTTCAGTCAATGATATTTCTTTTTTGGTCCTCGACAACCAAGAAACCTATATATGAAGATCTAATATTCAGTTGGTCAAATCTCAGTTCGCATTGTGCCTTCCACTTTGCCGAGCTTCTATTTGGTACCTTCCTTGTTCAAAACGGATCTCATTTTAAGCCGCTTGACCGATGACATATCCCAAATGAGTCAAATACGGAGATTTGCAAGCAGGTTTGGAGCGGGCATATTTACATTTAGGGCACTCACTCGCACATTTCTAGTCACAATTAGATGTGATATATTCCAGGTATTGATCAAGTCACAAATACAGATAGCATACACAAAAATGCGAAAAATTACCTATAACAGGCCCATCTGGATTCTGGGTTGTAGGTGCTTCTACAGCGTACAGCCACACAGGCGGATATGTGGCATGAGTAAACCTGCGTGTTGGACGCCAGACGGGAAAGGTATATCTATGAGAAGTGAGCGAGTGACAGGCTGACAGCGAGTGAGAGCAGACAGCGGGTGAGAGCAGACAGTGGGCGAGTGCGAGACAGCGGGCGAGGGCAGACAGCGGGCGAGAGACGGTGGGCGAGAGCAGATAGTGGGTGAGTGCGAGACAGCGGGCAAGAGACGGTGGGCGAGAGCAGATAGCGGGTGAGTGCGAGACAGCGGGCAAGAGACGGTGGGCGAGAGCAGATAGTGGGTGAGTGCGAGACAGCGGGCAAGGGCAGACAGCGGGCGAGAGACGGTGGGCGAGAGCAGATAGCGGGTGTGTGAGAGACAGTGAGCAAGCGAGAGCCAGCCAGCAAGAACAGCAAGCGTGTGAGAGGGAATGTGCTGAGGTGCAGGGATAGGATTGGGTAGTATTAGCAGTTATCAGATAATACTGTCATGCAGTATTCACCTAGCGCCGCTGAGCCTTGCAGGGTCTGAGTAATGGACCGGAGTGGTTACAGGTGTTGGGTGTTGTCCGGAATGGCGAAGGGAGTGAACATTGGCGGTTAATGAAGATAGTACCTGTAGCGGATGGACCACGCACCTTATTAGACTACTCAACAAACACCTCGACTCCAAACAACTTGGTCCCACTATTGGAAGACATAGCTGTGTGAAAATCATTTGAATGAAAGATGGAATTGCATTAAAAACATACCTATGAGGGTTGAGAAAGTAGTAGATTGAAGATAAGTGTTGAATGGAACAATGTTGTTCACAGACAAAAATGGACCATGGTTGCGTCTGAATCAAATTATTGCAGTGGTCAGACCATAACGGTGGCTCGAGTTTACAGATTATTTATGGCGCAGTAGTATATATTGGTTGTTGTAGATTAGGCTTATGAATGCAGTTTAGTGCATCCATTGTTACAAGTAACATCGGTCACATGGCCCCCCTATCATTTTCCCTTCATCCTCGCCCTCACCATCTACCGGCTCGTCCTCCTTTACCGACTTTCCGTTGACCGGATCCTTGGGACCATTCCCGCCCCTCGCATCACCCGCCTCTATGCACGTGCACGCACGTTCATCCCCTGATTCGACCACCAATGTGGTCCCGCACCTATGACTCGGTCTGACTCGTGCCACCAATGTGGCTTTCCTCTTTCTGTTCCTTCTGACTGCGGATTCCCGCACGTTGTATTCTTACCGTTGGTTCGTTCCAACGTTCCTTGGTCTCATTCCACATTCGACCACCCATCACTAATCCGGCTATGTTGCCAACGCACCTATACCATTCTCGTTTCCCCTTTACCCTTACCTACTGTGCGGTAGCCTTGCCCTTAACCCTCTCCACTTAGTATAAGTAGTCGGTCACCCTGTACTAGATTCTCTAACTTGAATCTACTCAATCTTCCCTGGAACATACTTCCCTCTGAACGCCCCTTTGGCTTCAGTCTCTAGTATCTTTTCTTAGTTGCTCATCGCGACTAAGTCTACCTCGATCGACCTCATCGTACGGACAAGATAGTCCTTACCTTGAGCGACTTCACAGACATCCGTCTACGAAGTCACATGACACGCGCGTACTGTGATTGCTGCCGACTCGTCGTCGCCAGCCTCACTTGCTATACCAGATCCTTCCGGTTACGTCACGAACGTTAGCAGACGATGCCCCTCTTAGGGCTCCGCCTAACAGATCTATTTGAGTGCATAACATGCACTAGGTCAAACACTCACTGGTCTGTCGGAGACCAGTCCCAGCGAGTCGTCTGGGCAGCTATCTTTGACAGATGCTGCATGTGGACATGCACCCCATCACATCCCGCTGCCAGGTAACCTACTGAGCCAATGAATTGCATCAGTAGCTCCTTTGATGTCGGGGTCTTCCAGTTCATTATCTTGTCGACTTTGTGAGGGTCCAGCCTGATACCGCCATCATCAACCATGTGGCCAAGAATAGTGAGTTCATTCTTGAAGAGTTGCAGTTTATGGGCGCTCAAATAGAAGTGATTAGCGCGAAGCGTATCGATAACGGTGCGGACATGCTTTGCGTGAGCATCAGCTGTGTCCGAATATATGACTATGTCATCTAGGTACACGTCCATGAACACACCGATGTAGGGCCCAAATATGTGGTTCATCAGGGACTGGTAAGTGTTACGACAAACGGTCGTGTGCGACTAGGATAATCTAACAGCGACAACCACGACAGTGGTACTGAGTGCTGAGAGTCGTCGGCCTTCACAGACAAGCAAAGGTTGCGTACTCGAACGTAGCTCGTGGTGGTTAACGAGGGGTTATGCTGAGATGATAGCGGTTTACAGACAGTGAGAGGCGTCACTGAAGGTACGAGTCGATGTCGGGCAGGTAGCTTTAGCGGGACAAGGAGTTCAAGGGTAAACCTAGTTGATTAGACTAGTTTCTGGGTAGTACCTAGTAAGATTAAAGTAAGGAACGTCTACTTTAATCTTCGACCTTATATAAGGCTACTCTATCGTGTCTAAGCTCA